GCAGAAACTATTTTGCCCTTATCTCTAATTTTGTTGTAGAGAGAGTATAAGCAATAATAGGAAGGAACAAGGGGTTTTGCTGGTTGAGATAAGGATAGCTATACAGGGCATTGACTCACATTGATTTCCTGTGTGTGGGTGTTACCTTCTAGGTTAATTCTTTTTGATCTAACCTTTTCTCTAGTTCCTGGTCCCTTTTCCTATTGGCCTCAGTTGCTTTAAGGTATCTGCTTTAGTTTCTCTGCGTTAAGGGCAACAAATGCTAGCTAGTTTTTTAGGTGTCTTACCTATCCTCACCCCTCCCTTGTGTGCTCTCGCTTTTATCATGTGCTCATAGTCCAATCCCTTGTTGTGTTTGCCCTTGATCTAATGTCCACATATGAGGGAGAACATACGATTTTTGGTCTTTTGGCCAGGCTAACCTCACTCAGAATGATGTTCTCCAATTCCATCCATTTACCAGCGAATGATAACATTTCGTTCTTCTTCATGGCTGCATAAATTCCATTGTGTATAGATACCACATTTTCTTAATCCATTCGTCAGTGCTGGGGCATCTTGGCTGTTTCCATAACTTGGCTATTGTGAATAGTGCCGCAATAAACATGGATGTGCAGGTGCCTCTGGAGTAACAGTCTTTTGGGTATATCCCCAAGAGTGGTATTGCTGGATCAAATGGTAGATCGATGTCTTTTTAAGTAGCCTCCAAATTTTTTTCCAGAGTGGTTGTACTAGTCTACATTCCCACCAACAGTGTAAGAGGGTTCCTTTTTCCCGCATCCTCGCCAACACCTGTTGTTGGTGGTGTTGCTGATGATGGCTATTCTAACAGGGGTGAGGTGGAATCTTAGTGTGGTTTTAATTTGCATTTCCTTTATTGCTAGAGATGGTGAGCATTTTTTCATGTGTTTTCTGGCCATTTGAATTTCTTCTTTTGAGAAAGTTCTGTTTAGTTCACTGCCCATTTCTTTATTGGTTCATTAGTTTTGGGAGAATTTAGTTTTTTAAGTTCCTGTATATTCTGGTTATCAGTCCTTTGTCTGATGTATAATTGGCAAATATTTTCTCCCACTCTGTGGGTGTTCTCTTCAGTTTAGAGACCATTTCTTTTGATGAACAGAAGCTTTTTAGTTTTATGAGGTCCCATTTATCTATGCTATCTCTTAGTTGCTGTGCTGCTGGGGTTTCATTGAGAAAGTTTTTACCTATACCTACTAACTCCAGAGTATTTCCTACTCTTACTTGTATCAACTTAAGAGTTTGGGGTCTGATATTAAGATCCTTGATCCATTTTGAGTTAATCTTGGTATAGGGTGATATACATGGATCTAGTTTCAGTTTTTTGCAGACTGCTAACCAGTTTTCCCAACAGTTTTTGTTGAAGAGGCTGCTATTTCTCCATCGTATATTTTTAGCTCCTTTGTCAAAGATAAGTTGCTCATAGTTGTGTGGCTTCATATCTGGATCCTCTATTCTGTTCCACTGGTGGAAGTTAGTATTTAATGGGGAGAGCTTCCATTTGGGAAGATGAAAGTTCTGGAGATGGATGGTGGTGATGGTTGCACAGCAGTGTAAAGCAATGCCACGAAACTGAATGCACAGAAATAATTAAAAGGGTAAATTTCACCTTGTATGTATTTAACCACAATGAAACAAACAGAAACTATGCTTTGTGAGGGGCAGGAGCGCTGGGTGGACTCTGTTCTTGGAATCTACAGGGGAGGGGCTGGACGTGAGCACAGACCGAGGATCTACCCCACCCCCCACCGCTCCACAGCCCCTTGTGTTACGCTCCCGCTATTCACGCATGCTCTGTCTGCTCCTTCCCACCGGCGGCCGTCGCCAGGGGTCGCTGTAGCGCCCGCCCACCCGTCACCTCACTCGTGCGCAAGATGGCGGCTGCGGCACTGCTCCGTGGCGCGCTTCCGGGACGCGGCCGTCCAGCCTGGCGCTGGCGGCTGCACGCGGCCCCGAGGTTCTGCCTGGCTCACGGTTCCAGCCCTCTCAGCAGTGACCCCACTAACAGCGCAGCCTGGGCCTGTTTCCTGCTAGACGAACGCGCCCTGCTGCGCGTGCGCGGCCCGGACGCGGCGCCCTTCCTACTGGGGCTGCTGACCAATGAGCTGCCCCTTCTAGATCCCGCGGACAGCGCGGCTTCGTCCCCTGCGCGCGCGGCGTACGCTCACTTCCTGAACGTGCAAGGCCGCACTCTCTATGATGTCATCCTGTACGGGTGAGCACGGGCAGGGAGTTGGGGGCGGGGTGAGGAGGCCTAGGTGCGGTCAGGCCAGACGCTCCACGGAAGCGTCTGAGTGGGATAGATTACACCCAGAGGAGGACGCCCAGGGAGGCCGGGTTAGACACACCAAGCAAAGACATCCGGAGGAGAGCTAGGCTTCCGGGAGAGGGGGCGACCTGTACAAGGCTTCCAAGAACCGGCCAGTGTCTTGCACCATGCCTAGAGCATGGGCTCTCAACCAGTCAGAGGCTGTACCCAGCCTCTGGAGGTAGACACCTTCAAGGCGGGGGTTCCCCTCAGCCCTGCGGGTCACTCTTCCTCACTGCATGGAAAAAGGGGTCTTTGGCCTTCTCTGCGCACAGTTCCCTGTTTCGAGCTTGTGCCAGTGCTCCAAGCATCAGATTTGCACCTCGCTTCCCTGTTTCCTCTCTGCAGGCTTCCCAGTGCCCAATATATCCTCGTTTGGTCTCTTCATCTGTATTAACATTACAGTGGCTGTAAACAATATTCACTGGCAGAGCCGGTTAGGGACCTGTGTGTTTACAGCATTGGATTTTCACTTGCCTAACTTCCCAGCACTGGAGTCAGGGGCTAGTGCTGAGATGCTCCCTCCCTGACCGGTTTTCGCTTGCTCGCTGCCCCTGGGCTGTTCACGCTGACTCTCACTGAGGCTCAGTCTGGCTCCCCGACCTGTCTGCCTGACCAGTCTGCCTGGTGTGGTCCTGTGTTGGGTTTGGAGAAGCACCTAGGTGCATGTTTGGACTCATCTCTGCCAGGGGCAGAGATTCTAGGTGGAATATGGTCACTGAGAATGTGGCAGCCATGGTGTCATACCTAAATGCTACCTGCATGTCTGTGGCGAAGCTAGTGCATTTTTAGAGTTTCTCTTTGTCACCTGTGTATTGAAATGCCTGCCATGGCGATGTGCCTTCTTGGGATCTTTTTTTCATATTATGTTGCTTAGCAGGCTCTTGGATCTAGAAGAGGGATCAGCAAATGACAGGCCCCACCCAGTGCTGTTCTAAATAGAACCTTCCCATGCCCATTTGTCTCCCCTCCACCTGGGGCTGCATCTGCTAGGCGGCGCTGTGGTAATTTAGGTCCTAAACGAGGCACTGTCTGCCCTTTTCAGAAAAATCATGTGGACCCCAGCTCTAGAGGCTTTAATAATCTCTAACTGCGTTTCTGTCATCATCTCTGTCTGCCTCATACAATAATTTCTTACTTTCCCTCTGGAGGCTTTCATTTCTTTATCTCAGAAGCTATGTTTTGGGCTAGGTGCACAGCTCAAGTGGTAGAGTACCTGCCTAGCAAGCATGAGGCCCTGAGTTTAAACCCCAGTACTGCCAAAGCAAACAAAAACTGTTCTTTGATCATCTTGAGTTTTCTACATCAGTAATCTGTAGTACAGGTGGTCCCCAACTTGTGATAGTTTGATTTAGGATTTTTACTTTTTCGTGGTTCAAAAGTGATAGGCATTCAGTAGGAACCATACTTGGAATTTTGAATTTGGATCTTTTCCTGGGCTCTTGATGTTTGTTTGGACCTCTGACAGTCCTGGGCAGCAACATCAAGCCACAGCTTCCAGTCAGATCACAAGGGGAACAGCATGCTGTGTGGTGTGCTGTGTGTGTGTGTGTGTTGTTTTTTTAAATTAGGATATATTCATTATAACGGGTGTGGGGTGCTGTGTTTTGTGTGTGCTAGGATGTTCAGCAGGTCAGAGGTATGTGGTACATTTTCACTTAAGGTGTTTTCAGCAGGTGATGTAATTCCATCGTAAGTTGAGGAGCTACTCTGGCATCTATTCTGATTACTGCTGTTAAGGTACTCACTTATGTAATGTTGTCTTGGGCCCTGGGTTTCCTTTCTCATACTTGCTATCCCCTTTTATCTTTTTCCCTCAAAGTCCTCATTTTGTTGAATTCCTTGTTTTGTTTCTTAGGACTTTTTTCTCCCTCCTGGCCTGGGATGTGCCACAGTTTTTATTATTGGGTGGCTCTTTCCCAAGTTTGTGCCCTCCTGCGCACACACACACACACACACACACACCCTGAGAGCAGGGAATATTTGGGCAGTGGATATAGGAGGGACTGACTAGATTAGAATGGAAATTCAGATTGTCATGTTTTGTGAAAATCTCCCTCTTCAATTCCATTCCAGTTTATGTTCCTGTTTTTCCTCAGCAGTTAGATGAAGGGCCACATAAGTCTCTTGGATTTGAGGTGCTGGAAGGCCCTATTTACATCTTATCTGTCTCCAGCTCTGCTTGTGGCTTGGGGTTAGGACCGAGCGTGCTTGTCCTTCCCACCCTGCCTGTCTGGTGATTCTTGGGGTTGAGCCTGTGAGCTTGTACTCTTTTCTTTGTTTGTTGGCTATTGGCTGTTTGTCTGTTTCTCTCTCTTCATGTCTGCTGACTAGGGGAGAGCACATGTTGTGAGTCAGGGTAGTTCTCCATGGTATTATGCTTGCTGCTGTTCTCTCCTGGACACTTTCTCTTCATTCTTGTTTTCTTTCTGTCTGCCTCTGTCTCTGTGTTCTGTATATGTCTCTCTCTGGAATTTTTTTTTTTTTTTGGTGGGACTGGGGTTTGAACTCAGGGCTTTTTGCTTGCAAAGCAGGCACTCTACCACATGAGCCACACGTCCAGCCCATTTTGTTCTGGTTATTTTGAGATGGAGTCTCTTGAACTATTTGCCCTAGTTGGCCTTGAACTGTGATCTTCAGTATCTCAGCCTCCAAGTAGCTAGGATTACAGGTGTGACTGGTACCTGGATTTTTTTTTTTTTCCTGGCAGTACTGGGGTTAATTCAGGGCCTCATGCTTGCTAGACAGGTACTCTACCACTTGAGCCACTCCACTAGCCCTATTTTGGTGGGGTGTTTTCAAGATAGGGTCTCATCAACTGTTTGCCTAGGCTGGGCTCCTCCTCATCTCTACCTTCTGAGTAACTAGGATGATAAGTGTGAGCCATAGGTACCCGGCCTTTTTCTTTTTTGAGGCAGGGTCTTACTTTGTAGGCTAGCCTTGAACTTATCATCCTCCTGCCTCAGCCTCACAAGTGCTGAGAGTTTAGATGTACACCACAATGCCTGGCCCCCTGAATATTTTGTTTTTTTTGGTACAGAAGTTTGAACTCAGGACATTGTGCTTGCTAGGCAGACATTCTATGACTCAAGCCACACCTCCAGCCCTTGGAATTTCGCATTTCAATGTTTATGCTTTCAACTTATCATTCATGGATTATTTCCTCACAGTACTCTGTTCTGTTTCCTGGATGCAGCATCTTCTCTCAGATGAAACCATAGACTTGATTTTTTTTTTTTAATTATTTTGGCTATTGATTTTTAGAAGAACTTTTAAGAGCTATTTTAGGTTCACAGCAAAATTGACCAGAGAATGCGAGTTCCTGTATACTCTTTGTTTCCCTCCCCAGCATCCCTGGCCATCAGCACCTGCACCAAAGGGATCATCTGTCAGAATCAGTGTCTGTACATACCCAGGGTCAGAGTTTGCATCAGGGTTCATTCTTGGAGTTGGATGCTTTGTGGATGTAGATAAATGCTCATGACATGAATCTGGCATTGCAGTATCTTTCAGAGTAGCTTCCCTGCCCTCAGAGTCCTCTGTGCTCACCCACTCATCCTCCCTCCTCTGTGACCACTGATCTTTATACTGTTTTTCCTTTTTCAGAATGACCTGTGTTAAGATTGTACAAGATGTGGCCTTTTCAGATGGGCTTCTTTCACTTAGTAGCATGTATGTAAGTTTCCTCCACATCTTCTCATGGCTCCAGAGCTCATTTCTTTTTGTTTATGAACGCTCTTCCACTGTGTGATGTGCCTTCACCCACTGAAGGGTACCTGGGCTGCTTCCAAATTTTGGTGGTTATGAATAAAGCTGCTATAAACATCCATGTGCAGTCTTGTAGTCTTTTTTTTTTTTTTTGGTGGGACTGGGGATTGAACTCAGGGCTTCATGCTTGCAAAGCAGGCGCTCTACTGCTTGAGCCATACCTCCAGTCCATGTGTTGTCTTTTGTGTGGACATAAATTTTTCCTTTGGGTAAAGACTAACGAGGGCAGTTTCTGGATTGTATAGGAAGAGTGAGTAGGTTTAGGCTGGGCATGGTGGTGCACACCTGTAATTCTAGCACTCTGGAAGCTAAAGCAGGAGGATCTTGAGTTTGAGAACGGCCTGGGCTACATAGCAAAAACAAACCGAAAAGCATACTGTAGACCCTTGGTATCTGCAAGTGTGTGGTTCCAAGGAGACCGCCATTGAGGAAAACCTATGGATATTCTAGATGCATAGAGTTTAGTGTTGTACTATTGGTGCTTGATTCATTTTTCCCATAACACACCTCTAACTGCTGCTAAAGACATGCTGCCTCTAAACAAATCCAAAATTCTCTCTTAAGTTTATTAACTTTTACCTTGCTTTTTAGGTACCATTTGGTGTTTTCAGAAAGTTTCTTATTTTTACAAAATGAAGGGCAGGGGAACACTCAGCAGGTCCCATGATTGAAACACAACTGATGATAACTTTGGGACTGACTGAGAGGTTCTCAGTATCTACTGGCTATAAAATTCATGCACAGAAATTTAAGATTTTTTTTTTGGTGGTACTATGGTTTGAACTCTGGGCCTCATGCTTGGTAGGTAGGCGCTCTGCCACTTGAGGCACTCTGCCAGCCCTTCTTTTTGTGTTGGGTATTTTCAAGATAGGGTCTTATAAACTATTTGCCTGGGGCTGGCTTCAAACTGTGATCCTCCTGATCTTTGCCTCCTGAGTAGCAAGGATTACAGGCCTGAGTCACTGGTGCCCAGCAAGAATTTAAGATTTTTCTTTGAAATTTCTTTTGATTTTTTTTTTACTGCATTTGGTCAAAACCATGCGTAATTTGTGAATAAGGTGGGCTTACTGTACATTATAATTCCAGTTTGTAAAAAACAAAAGAAAATAATTAAAATCAGTATGTTTAGTTTTTCTTTCTTTTCTTTTTTTTTTTTTTTTTTTAGTAGCCTTAGTTTTTAATCAATTGCCAACTTATCTTCCACAGTGGCTGCACCATCTTGTATTCTAGCAGTGAATGAGAATCATTGCTCCCCGACCTCACCAGCATTTGGCCCATGTTCTGGATTTCGACTGATATTCCGAATGTTGGGTGTAGTGGTACCCATTTCTCTGATGGCATGATGTGGGATGTCTTCAAGCTTACCCAACTGACATCTTTGTATTTTCTTTGGAGGCATCTGTTCAACTCTGGTCCATTTTTTTATCTGTGAGTTTTTTTGTTTATTTTTTGTTTTTAGTTTTTTGAGATGGTCTTGCTCTGTACCACAGGTTGGTTTTGGACCTGCCTTTCTCTTGACTATTGCAGTTAATAGGCATGTACCACCATGGGTTGTTTTTTTTTTTTTTTTTTTGGTAGACTGGGGTTTGAATTCAGGGCCTTGTACTTGCTAGGGCAAGCACTGAATCACATTCCAGCCCTTTTTTGCCTTAGTTATTTTTTAGGTAGAGTCTCAAGTTTTTGCCTGTGGCTGGCCTCCTGCATAGCTGGGATTACAGAAACACACCACTATGCCCAGCTTGTTTGTTGAGATGGGGGTCTTCCTAACTTTTTCCTGACCTAGCCTCAAAACATCATCTTCCCCATCTTTGCCTCCCAAGCTGCTGGGGTTACAGGTGTGCACTACTATGGATTGTTTTCCTTCTTTTGTTTCAGAATTGAACCCAGGGCCTTGTGTATGCTAGGCAGGCACTCTACCACTGAGCTCATGTCCAGTCCTGGGTTGATTTCTTGTTGGTGAGTTTTCACTGATGCTCTATTTTGGATAACAGTACCATATTGTGTGTGTCTTTTGCTCCATTTTTCTCCTGGACTGAGGCCTGTTTTTCTCCCAGACGAGGCTCCGGTGTTCTGAGGTTCCTTCTGCCTTCTGTGTTCTAATAGTGTGCATGCTTCCTTTGGTGCCTTTCTCTTAGTTGATTTTTTTTTTTTTGGTAGTGGGGCTTGAACTCAGGACCTATATACCTTCAGCCACTCCACCAGTCCATTTCTGTGATTTTTTTTTTTTTTTTTTGAGATAGGGCTCATAGATCTTCCTGATCTCTGCCTCCTGAGTAGCTAGGATTACAGGTGTGAACCACTGGCTCCCGACTCTTAGTTGATTTTCATCTGTCTTCATATTTGAGGCAAAGAAAAGCTATGAGGTCCTATGGTGGGCAAGATAGTACACTGGTGGCTGGCTGCAAGCTGGCTTCTGTGGGGCACCTGCAGAGTCACAGTCTCTCAGGGCAGTGTGGCCTCTCAGGAAGAGCCAATGGGGAGTCAGACAGTACCTCCTCACCCTTGGTGGGGACCCATGATGTGTGGGGACTTGGGCCTGTCTCAGCTTTCCACCCGCTCTGGAGCATTGGGGTTGTGTGCTGATGTAGTGTTTGGGTGGCTGAGTAACAGGAAAGATGTGTTGGGAAAGAAAGCTGCGGCAAATCCCCAGTGCAGCCTAGCCACCTTCCCAGGAGCTGTTTTTCCTCATGAATGATTGCCAATCCTTGGTCTGACTGAATCCACCTCTTGGTTCTTGAGCAGCCCTGGCACCTACTGGTGCATCCGGCCAATTCCTTGGCAGGATGTCTGGGACCTGGTCCCTATCTACCTGCTTGACCTGCACTCCCAACTCCCTGAAGCTCTGAGTACTGCCCCTGCCTAAGGGTCTCGTGTGGTGAGGGTCTCTACCACAAAACCCATGTGGGTGGAGGCTGGGCCTGCATCAGCCATTGTAGGGCCTCTGGGTTCAGCTATTAGCATGATGCCTTTATGTGGCTGTCACCTTCTGCCTGAGCCTGTGGGTCACTGGGGTCTGCACTGTTGCAGTGCCTTGTGCCATGGGTGTGGCTGTGTATAATCAGTCTCCTTGGTGCACTTGGGAAGTGCAGCGCTGTGTCACCACAAGTCACTGTTGTCTGTACATTCATTCTCATTGTGGTGTACCTATATGCTCTATGGGAAACAAACATGTAACTGCTATTCTAAAAGCAGTTTAGTAGCAAGGTTGTGAATGTTCAATTCTAGGAAAGAACTTTATGACTGATAGACATATTTGTATCTTGATGTGTTCTGCTTTTAGGAGCAACATTCATTGCTCTTATTACAACTATATGCTCTATGGGAAAGAAGCATGTAACTGCCATTCCATAACCAGCTTAGTTAGAAAGTTACACAATGTTCCATCTAGAAAATAAGTCTGTTTCATAGGATTTTCTTTCTCCTATCACTGTTTTCAAATTAAAGTCATATTTATTTTTTTTCATGATGCACTATTATACTCTGTGGGAAAGAAGCATGTGACTGCTGTTCTAAGAGCAGCCTAGTTACAAGGTTTAGAATGTAGCACGATGTTCCACTCTAGGGAAGAACCTTGTGACTGATCTTGTTTGAACTTTGAAGTGAGTGCGTTTGTCTGCCCGAGAGGACGTTCACTCTGGAGATGTAGCTCTATGTGGCCAAGGGCAGGACTCTTTTGTTTCCTGTATACCTATCTGTGCTTACTGACAAGATCAAGGCTCTCTTTGGTCTGGCAGTGTGCTTGTCTTCCCCCAACATTGTAGGCTATTGGCAGTGCAACCCTACACAGTCAGGGTTATGGCTCTCTGCATGTTGGTTGTTGCAGGTTGCTTGTCTGCCTTTGTGAGAGGAACACTGTAGAGGTGCAGTCCCATGTGGCTGTGAGCACAGCTGTTATTGCCTTGTCTGCTGTGAGTAAGCCATGGGCAGAATTCAAGGGGCACACTTGTCTGCTTGTGATGCTACATGCTCTGGAGGTGCAGCTGGGTGTGGCCCAGGGCACTTTTCTGTACACCTTGGTCCTTCCCATGCACTTGGTGAGCTGGCTGTGGGCAGAGACTCCTGCCTATTCCCCAACCCCTTGTCTCTCTTCCGGTAGACTCCCTGAGTGCCCAGAGGAGGCCCCAGGCTTCCTCCTGGAATGTGACAGCTCCACGCTGGATGCCCTGCAAAAGCACCTTGCACTGTACAAGATCCGTCGGAAGGTCATGGTGGAGCCACATCCAGAGCTCCACGTGTGGGCTGTGCTGCCCAGCACCCCCCAGGCCCCTGAGGCTGTGCCGCTGCAGGAGAGGGTGGGAGCCACTGCCATCCTCACCCGTGACCCCCGAACTTCACACATGGGGTGGCGGCTTCTTACCCAGGACCATGGCCCTGCCCTGGTGCCTGGAGGCCAACTTGGGGACCTCCAGGATTATCATACGCATCGATACCAGCAAGGTATGGATGGAAAGGGCATGCTTGGCTGAGTGAAGGGAAGGTGTGGAGAGGAGGGGCTGGATGAACCCCAGGTAGGGCAGGGCAGGTAGAAGGGCTGGGTGGTTTTGAACACACTTGGGACTGAATGCACTCATCTTTCTCTCTTGTCTGATCTCCACAGGCATCCCTGAGGGGGTCCATGACCTGCCCCCAGGATTGGCCCTTCCGTTGGAGTCCAACTTGGCTTTTATGAATGGTGTGAGCTTCACCAAGGGTTGCTACATTGGCCAGGAGCTGACGGCCCGCACTCACCACATGGGTGTCATTCGCAAGCGCCTCTTCCCTGTACGACTCAAGGGTTGCCTCCCTACCAGTGGCATTGGTCTTGGCACCTTGGTGCTGACCACAACAGGACAGGTGGCTGGCAAGTTTAGGGCTGGCCAGGGGGATGTGGGACTGGCCCTGCTGCGGTCAGACACAATCAAGGGTCCTCTCCACATCAGGATCTCTGAGAACCATCAGGTGGCTGTAACAGCCTCAGTACCAGACTGGTGGCCCATAGCCACCAAGTAGCCCTGGATGCCCTGGACTTCTGCTGGCCTTAGAGTTATTGGGGTGCCTTGATTTATCTGCTGTGCCTTGCTTGGTATGAGCCCCCTTCCCATGGTGGCCCCATGAACACACCCACATGGGAAAGTCTCTGTGTCTTAGGCTGCAGGTGTGCTTGCCACCACTGATACTTCTTTTGGAAGACTGTGGGCTGTTCTGTGACTGGGGACAGCAGGAACTCTTTTGAGGTCCTTTTGGGAAGGACCTGAGCCCACCTGTGTGGGCACTGAGCCCCCCACTTGGACCAGACTCCAAATGGGTCTGTGGGTCAAGGACAGGATGACATTTGTGTCAGCCCTGGTAGCTCCCCAGACTTTGCCCTCCACTTGGGAGGTGGCCTGTGTGCCTGCTGAGTTGGTGGGTCAGAGGAGATGGGCTTTGTGAATCATAGTACCATGCTCTCTTTGAAATACATCTCAGGGTGGAAGTTTGTAGGTTGGAGATGTTGGATACCTTGGGACAGAGACATCTGCATGGTAAGGAACACTGACTGAACACCTGACTGAACCCTTTGCTAGAGCACCTCTGTGGCTTATGATGAGCCACTAGTCATTTCACACTGCAGTGTCTGCAAAGGTGCCCACAGCATACAGTTCTCCAACTCTTTCTTCCTCTGGAGGTCCTCAGGAGAGGTAGAGCCCAGGCTTGGGTCCCAGTTGCAGGGGCTTCTGTTTGAGTTGTGTTTTTGCTGGTTTGGGATGTTTACCACTTGTTTTCATTAAGGGAGTGACTTGCTGGCCAATGGTGGTATCACCCCCCTCCCCTTTGAGCCACCAACTTCCTTTCTTTTGTTATAATGGGAACTTATTGCACCAGGGGTCTCATCCCAAGGCCCAGAGGGGGTATTAAAGTGTGACTTACAAGCATCCTCTTCAGAACTCTGGTTTCATTTCAGGTAGATGGAAGCTGGGACTTGGTTTGGGGTTTGATAGACCAGACACATGGAACAGCCATCTGGAAAACAGCAAACATACCAGATAAAATCAGTCTCAGTGGAGTTTTGCAGGCATTGCTAGACCAACAAGAAGGAGTGAGGTCCCAGGGTCTAGGCACAGCAAGTGGACCCCCAGACCTCAGGGCTGGGGGGTAGGTGGCTCTGAGCTGTCGTCTGCAGGAGCAGGCACAGGGGCCAACAAGCTGGGACCACCAAGACTGGGGCAAGGAGGGATCCTGTGTAGCCATCCTGTAGCCTTGAAGGGCACCTGGGTTGGAATCCCAATGTATTCTGAAGTGCAGTTTTCAGTGGCCTGGGGAGACCAGACAGAGGAAGAAGAGACAGGAGGCTGGTCATCAGCTGGAGTGGACTGGTAAGTTGGGGGTAAGGACCCAACTGGCCCAACAAGCCCAGAGGGACTCCACTTTAGGCAGGACCTGGGTGCCTTGATCCACCCTGTCCATCCCTGCCCCTCCAGACAGTGCTGAGTGGGTGGTCAGTGCAGGGAACTGGAGGTGTGGGCAGGCTAGATGCCTCTGAAGGGGAGCAGCAGGACTCCTTTTGGGGCACACAATTAAAGGCTGTGCAGGCCCCAGCATTCCCTGTCTACCCTGCCCCAGGGTGGGGTGGCTAGAACCACAACAGCTCCTGTCTGTTACAGCTTTGCCTCTGGCTCACTGTTTCCACTCTGAAGAAATATACACATCGGTGTTACTGGACATTGGGGTGAAGGAGGGGACCTTCTGGTAGGAGTGGCTTGTACTCTGGAAGCCTTCTGTGGCAAGTGCCTGAGCCCTACAGAGGACATGTTATGACACCTATCATTGCCTTGCTGCTCCCATCAGCTTTTTAGTTGAGACATCTGATTGGGATTTGAGGCCAGTTTCCTCCTGAGTTGCAGCGAGTCATGTAACTGAAGTCTGACCTAAGTTGGATATGCCCTTGGAATGAGACTTAACCTGAACTTAGACACCCTTTGTGTCCCTCATTGGTGGGGCGAGTGTCTATCAAACCTCCCAGCTTTTGGCAGGAGCCTGGCAGAGGTGGTTCTGAAGGCAGGGCCCTAGAGTTAGGAGAGAAAAGGAAGTCCAAGGGGTGTGATGCTATTTTGGGGGCTGAGGCACTGCTGCCTTCCTGTGTTGTGTCCCTGAAGCCTTCGGGCTCTCCAGGTATTGGGATCTCAACATGTTTTGTTCACATTGAACAGGTACATATTTGCTGCAGTCTATCTCAGTGGTTTAAAAAGCAAAATGCCATGCAATAAAAGTGCTTTTTTTTATGCCAGGTGTGGTGATGTATGTCTGTGGCAGGAGTATTGCAAGTTCTAGCTACATAGCAAGACCCTGTATCAAACAACAACAAAAAACCCAAAACAAAAACAGATGGGTGTGGTGGGGCATACCTGTAATCTCAGCTACTCAGGAGGCAGAGACAAGGAGGATCATGAGTTTGAGGGCAGCCTGGAAAAGTCAGTGAGACCTTATCTCAAAATTTAAAAAAAGGGCTTAGCTCAAGTAGTAGAGTACTTGCCTAGCAAGTGAGTGGCCCAGGGTTCAATCCCCAGTATTACCAAAAAATAAATAGATAAATAAGATGCTTTTTTTTTTGTTAAGAAACCAAATCAGTGTCATGAGAAGGGCTGTTCTGACTTACAGGGCTTTATGGCCACCCTGTGTGTGGCTCAGTTTTTATATGGATCAGTGTGGCCAATACAAAGTATAAAAACTGGTGCAGATAGACATTCCTAAAACTCTTCACTAACTTGAACTGTGCTTTTTAGTTTTTGTGAAAAGTATGAGGCTGTGAAAAATGGCCTGTAATAGTTAAACAAAACAAGAACAAAATGCACAGCTGGTAGTATTTTCAGTGTAAACATTTTGGAGAAACCCACCTCTAAGTCAGGGCTAAGGGAAAGTGTTCTGAGGAGTCATACATAGTCCCATAAAAGAAAAGAAGCTCCCTATTCTGGTCTTTGGTGAAATGGTCAATCATGTGCAGCCACAGGAAATGGGAGAGCTAGGGAAACCAGGCCGGTTATACACACCAGCCTAGAGGGGTTTCCTGCATACCTTGAGGTCAGGAGGCATAAGGAGAAGGGGTAGAGGGACCCTTGAACTCCACCAAGGTTGGGCAGGGCAGAAAGGGTACGAGGCTGGTTTGAGTGATTTCCATGGGCTCCAAGTTGCAGGGGTGTTCCCTTACTGCCTAACATGTGGCCCCCAGGTGAACTGCCTTTTGGAGTATATACTGGTAGAGGAGCAGGCTCTGAGCTTACTGGTTTGCATATGGAAGGCAGACACCATGCTGGGCCATTATCTCTAGAAACTGACTAGTAAGGGGAAGGCAGGCTCTCCCCAGCTAGAGAGGTTTTTTTTGTTTTGTTTTGTTTCCTGAGATGCCAAAACATAATATACAGGAAAAAAAATACATACACTTATATAATACTATGAGCAGTGGCCAGCAGAAAAATACAGTAGAGTCAAATCTACAAGTTTAAGATACTTGAGTAACCAGGCATATGATCTAAAATAAATATATTGAATATATTTAAGGAAATAAAATAAGGGATTTAAATAGTGTATAGAATATAGAATAGTGGTTATAAAAGGCTGGAGAGAGGAGGGGCTGGGGGATGAAAAGAGGTACAAAGTCACAGCTGAGAGGAAGAAGTTCTGCCACTTTACACAGAATGGTGACTAGTCAAAGTTACTGTGTCATATAATTCCAAACAGCTAGAAGAGAAGATTATGAATGTTCTCATCACAGGGAAATGATAAATATGAGAGATGATGGTAACCCTATAATGTTCTTAGAGACTGCTTTTGCTAAAAAGCCTGGACTCCTCACCTTCTTGGGCCTACAAGTTAACTAAAAACAGTATGAAAACCTGATACCACTGCTTCCATTTTGCATCTGTCTCCCTTGCTCTGAGTCTCACTCTCCTTCTGTCACCCTGGATACCAGGAAAGATAGAAGTGATCAATAGCATTTTATGACAAAGTACCAAAACTAACCAGAGTTCTAGACCAGAGGCCCAATTTTAGGGTTCTCACATGTCAGATTCAACCCTAATATGCCAAATAAAGTCTGCAAGAATGTTATATATCAGTCCTGTCCTTCCTGAAACCCAGGGTGATTGTAAGAGACACTCAGAATAATGGAGACAGATGTAAAATGGAGGAAGGATGCCAAGCTTTTATTCTGCTTTCAGTTAACTTGTGAGCCCAGGTAAGGAGTCAGTGCTTTTTTTTTTTAAATTACAAAATAACCTCTCAAACCAGAGAGATTATTTATTATCTTTTTTTTCCCTTTTTCTTTTATTATTCATATGTGCATACAAGGCTTGGTTCATTTCTCCCCCTGCCCCCACCCCCTCCCTTACCACCCACTCCGCCCCCTCCCTCTCTCCCCCACCCCCTCAATACCCAGCAGAAACTATTTTGCCCTTATTTCTAATTTTGTTGTAGAGAGAGTATAAGCAATAATAGGAAGGAACAAGGGTTTTTGCTGGTTGAGATAAGGATAGCTATACAGGGCATTGACTCACATTGATTTCCTGTGCGTGGGTGTTACCTTCTAGGTTAATTCTTTTTGATCTAACCTTTTCTCTAGTTCCTGGTCCTCTTCTCCTATTGGCCTCAGTTGCATTTAAGGTATCTGCTTTAGTTTCTCTGTGTTAAGGGCAACAAATGCTAGCTAATTTTTTAGGTGTCTTACCTATCCTCACCCCTCCCTTGTGTGCTCTCGCTTTTATCATGTGCTCATAGTCCAATCCCCTTGTTGTGTTTGCCCTTGATCTAATGTCCACATATAAGGGAGAACATACGATTTTTGGTCTTTTGGGCCAGGCTAACTTCACTCAGAATGATGTTCTCCAATTCCATCCATTTACCAGCGAATGATAACATTTCGTTCTTCTTCATGGCTGCATAAAATTCCATTGTGTATAGATACCACATTTTCTTAATCCATTCGTCAGTGCTGGGACATCTTGGCTGTTTCCATAACTTGGCTATTGTGAATAGTGCCGCAATAAACATGGGTGTGCAGGTGCCTCTGGAGTAACAGTCTTTTGGGTATATCCCCAAGAGTGGTATTGCTGGATCAAATGGTAGATCGATGTCTAGCTTTTTAAGTAGCCTCCAAATTTTTTTCCAGAGTGGTTGTACTAGTCTACATTCCCACCAACAGTAAGAGGGTTCCTTTTTCCCCGCATCCTCGCCAACACCTGTTGTTGGTGGTGTTGCTGATGATGGCTATTCTAACAGGGGTGAGGTGGAATCTTAGCGTGGTTTTAATTTGCATTTCCTTTATTGCTAGAGATGGTGAGCATTTTTTCATGTGTTTTCTGGCCATTTGAATTTCTTCTTTTGAGAAAGTTCTGTTTAGTTCACATGCCTATTTCTTTATTGGTTCATTAGTTTTGGGAGAATTTAGTTTTTTAAGTTCCCTGTATATTCTGGTTATCAGTCCTTTGTCTGATGTATAGTTGGCAAATATTTTCTCCCACTCTGTGGGTGTTCTCTTCAGTTTAGAGACCATTTCTTTTGATGAACAGAAGCTTTTTAGCTTTATGAGGTCCCATTTATCTATGCTATCTCTTAGTTGCTGTGCTGCTGGGGTTTCATTGAGAAAGTTCTTACCTATACCTACTAGGAGACAGTGCTTTTTAGCAAAAGCAGTTTCTAAGTATCTGTTATAAACTACTCCAAGGAACAGCAGAACCTCACAGGACATACTGCTCTCCAAGTCTACACCCTGGAACAGGAGTACTCAGAATCTCATGGGAACCACATTGCTCCCCTCAGTGATGGCAGAACTGAGATAATGATCAACCAGGCCACACTTTTCCTGGGACTGCTTAATTGTTCATACCTCTCTCCCCCTGCCCTGTTTTACCTAGTATAAATACCCCTAATGTTAGAACTCTCAGATCATCTCTTTTTATGTGCTTGCTTCTGTGTCTGGGTGTGTACTGTCCTTTGCTTTACTAAAAAACTTCCTTGGTTTCTACATCAACACATCCTGATATTCTTTGTAACAACATCATCAACCTAGTAACCCCAAATTGAGGTCTTTTCCCTCTGGGGACCTCCTTGTCCCATCTTGGTCTTGACAACAACCCAACTATCCTGAGTTGATTATTATTACATGATTATATATAATATATGTCATATTCATGTATATATATATATATACACACACACACACACATATTGACACGTGTATATAAAAATATGAATATATATGTATGTATTATATCTCCAAAACATTACATTGGACCCCATAAAGATGTATAATAATTATCAATTTAAAAGTAAACTATGGCTGGGCATGGTGTGCATGACTAATTCTAGCACTCAGGAGACTGAGGCTGGAAGAGTAAGAGTTAGAGGTCAGCCTGGCTACACAGCAGGACCCTGTCTTCAGGAAAACAAAAAAATCTGAATGTGTTTTCTGAAGAATTGGGAATTAAGGACTCCTGTGCCTGAAGAATGACAGGTCTGACAGCAGAGAAGCTTATAGAGGGTAGCCAGAAGAACAGAGGAGAATGTGAACTGGTTAACAGACAAGGAAAGAGGCAGCTTGATGTTTCATTCGGTGACTTCTAGGTGATTCCAGAAGGAGAGGAAACAGAACATGGAATAGGGGCCATCTATTCTCCAAAGAATAGGGGCCATCTGTATCTCCAAAGAAATACCACTGAGAACATTGCAGAATTGATGGTGTTGCAGGAATCTCAAACTGAGATACAGCACACTGAAGCAATTTAAGCAGGAAGCAACATTTTATTGTGCCGGCACAGACTCAGTGGACTCGTGTTCAAAGGCTGAGCCCTGAGAACAAAGGGGTCTCACCTTATATACCCTTGCAAGCGGGTTACAGAAGCAAAAAGCAAGGTCTAATCCATATATGGTTACATTTAATCTTATAGGCTACTTTACCCTAGTGCTACCTGACCCTCCACATTTAGATTCCTCAGGTTTTATCTCTCTGCCATGCCATCCCTACCTCCCTGCTACTTTATCAGAACTCAGGCCTAGTTTGTTTTACTTCTGATCCTCCTCCCTGCTACAATGGAAGTCCACAGTTCTTAGGTTCTTAGGCTAGTGGATCCCAAGCAGTATAAATACTTAAAAGAAGAGGAGAAGGAGAGGGAGAAATGAGTGGAGAGAGGAGGAGAGAAGTGGGCGGAAATGAGATTTGAGTTCTGGGCCCAACACTGACACAATCATCCATGAGCCTGGCCTGGCTCACAGAGGA